GTCTTCACCGGGCTTGTGCAATAGATCCCTTTGGAATCTGGTGAAGCCCATCAGCCCTTTCTCAGAATATAGTTTTTATTTATTTACTTATTTAAATTAAAAAAAAAAGATTTTATTGGAGAACTGGATGAGGGGAACAGCGTTGGAGAATTGGGGAAGGGGAACAGACAAGCTGCTGTCCTTTTGTTCTTCAGTCTAGTTGTAGAGGACATCGCTTCACTGCCCCATGTTGGTATTATCATTGCACTCTTCCTGGGTGAGGTAGATAGGTTGCCAGCTATTGGACAGCCGCTCACAGCGGCTCTTGGCAGTTCATGTCAGCTACCAGCCGCTCATGCTGGCTGCCGGCCACTCATGGTAGCTTATGGCAGCCCACTGTAGCTTCACTGCAGCCTACGCCATCACTGGCAACTCACGGTAGCCCAGCTCCAGGTCGAGCTGTTGTTCACCATCTTAGCTGTAGAGGGTGCAGCCTCACTGGCTCTCATGTGGGATCCAAACTGGGGCCCTGCTGCCCAGAGCTGACTTCCCAAGCGAACTCTTACCCAATGCTCCACTCAGCTGGCCCAGAATAAAGTTTTTAAATGTATAGAGTAAAACACACAGCATTACCAAAGGAAAAAAATTGAAATGCAGTTATTAAAATAAAGAACAAATGTGTGATGTTGTAATGAATATACTTTAAAAAAAATCAATGCTTAAATAATAAAATCTTGTGTCAGGACTAATAACTATGGTGATTTTAATGTAGTGTGTCTTAGTTTACTTGGGCTGTCACAACAAAATACCATAAACTGGTGGCTTAACAGAAATTTATTTTCTTATAGTTCTGGAGGCTGGAAATTTGACATCAGTCTGTCAGCATAGTCAGGTTCTGGTGAGGACTTTCATCCTGGCTCACAGATAGCTGGGTTCATTCACCCTGTGTCCTCAGATGGCCTATCCTTGATGTGTGTGTACAGAGAGAGAAAGATCTCGCTTCCTCTTCTCATAAGGCCCAGTCCTATCAGATTAGGGCCCCACCCTTATGATCTCATTTAACCATAATCCCCTAAAAGCTCCATCTTCAAATAGTCCCATTAGAGATTAGGGCTTCAACATATGAATTTTGGAGGAATACCGTTCAGTCCATAGCATAGCGATAGGCATAAATAATATTTCAAAATATCTTCAAACTATAATGTTATATGAAAATAAGTGTGATCTACTGGTGAAAACTCACAGTTACGGCTACTAATGTGTTTATTGCCTATATTCATCATGGAAGGAAATGCTTAATTTCAGGTAGAGGTTAGTGAAAATAAAGGTATGATTTGTTTTCCCCTCCAAGTTCACAGTCACCCTGAAAGTTCTATACAAGGAGCCCAGGTTAAGGACCCCTGAAACAGGTAAATAAAATGTCCTTGTTTTGAGCAAACAAGAGGCATCACCTTAGGATGGTGGTAATGAACTCTGAAATCATCTGATTCTGCCCATTACCCCTCCCCCAGGACCAGTAAGTGTGTTGAGTTGAAAAGAGACATCTTCTGTTCTCAGCTGAGTTTCTGGTATTTTCAAATATGTGTTCAAGTATTGGGATGTGTTTTGTCTTGCAGACAACAGTGACCTAAATATTGCACAAAGCGATTCCTGGACCTCTGAGAATTTCTGGCTGGACCCTTCTGTGAAAGGCCAACCAGAGACCAAGACAGAGGACGACGGACTCCGGAAATCCCTGGATAGATTCTATGAAATGCTTGGCCATCCACAGCCAGCCTCTAGAAATCCACTCTCTGCATCAGTTTGCCAGTGCCTGTCTCAGAAAATCAATGAACTGAAGGGCCAGGAGAGCCAGAAGTATGCCCTTCGAAGTTTACAGATGGCCCGGGTCATCTTCAACCGGGATGGCTGCTCAGCCTTACAGAGGCATTCCAGGGACACCCACTTCTACCCACTGGGGGAAGGAAATATGTCTTTGGATAATGAGAAGCCAATCCCAGGACTTTCCAAAGATATTATTCATTTCCTCTTGCAGCAGAATGTGATGAAAGACCCATAGCTGGTGCCTGGTGGTGAAAGCTGGCTGTATGGAGGGCAGCCCTGTGGGTGTCAGTGTTGGTGCCCCATCCACATCCTGTTAGGTCTCTCTTGTCAGCTCTGTGTGCCCAGCCTCCAACTAAGTGCTCTGCAGTCAAAGGCTGGCATCCCTGACCAAGTACTAGAGCAAGCTCACCCCCTATAGAGAGCCATCAAAATCTGGGAATTTTATAGCTCCCAGGCCATGCTCCCTCCCACCCTACCTATCAGTCCTCTCTGCCAGAGCTCAATGACTGACAGGTTTGGGAATCAAAAGCCCAGCTTCCTTGCCTCAGGAAAGACAAGCTCTGAGGCATAATTTATGCTCCAGAGCTCCCCTCTGAATCAGGCTGAAGCTGGGACATCACAGGAAATCACACTCTGTTCACTCCTCCCCACCCCCACCCCGTCCTCCTCCCATTCACTTACTGGGGTTTCTTGGGAGCCTTTCTTTAATGAATGTCTTGTACCTGAATCCTTGCCTCCAAGTCCACGTGCAGGAAAACCTGACCTAAGAGAACAAGCTTCCATTAGGTGAGTTTTTAAAGGGAACAAAGCTCTATGCCGAATCAAGGACAAGAATTATACCAAGTTGTAAAACTGCAACCATGTGATTGAGAACGTATGTCCCAGAATAATACAAAGATTTAAATACGGTGCCAAAAAGTGCATCACATCTTAATCATACCCTGGCCTCGCCAAAACCAGAATTGCCTATTTTATAACATTAACTGGGCGTAGAAGGAACATTTGGACCATGTAAAATAACAGCTAAAATTCACACACACAAAAAAAGTCCCTTCATCTCCACCAGATTGCAAATGTGAAAGGTGAGGAGAAAACAAATGTGCTCCACCCACCAAAGTATGCATAAACTCAATTAGGATAGGCTAGGCAGATGCCATGTGGCCTTGTTTGTGGTGGAGGAGAAAAAGGAACCCTTTGCCCAAGTGGACTCCTTCCTCTCGTTATTTTTGCCTCCTGCCCGCCTGCAGCCAGCACCTTCTGTCACCCTTTGAACAGTTGGCCTGTCACCCCTATTCTGTCCTGGCTTCACCCGGGAGCAGCTTTCTCTCTCTCTCTCTCTTTTTTTTAACTTTATTTTTCAGTTGACATACAATATTATTTTAGTTTCAGGAGTAAAATGTAGTGATTAGACATTTATATACCTTATGAAGTGACCCTCCCCCAATAAATCTAGTGCCCACCTGGCACTATTCATAGTTATTACAATATTATTGACTATATTTATTCCCTGTGGCTGTAAATCACCAGTCCAGGTTTGCATTAGCATAGGCTGTCTTCTACAGCTGTGTCCTGAAACCCCCTTTTGAGACTCAGTTGGTAGAATGACATCACCTGGCCCCAAGCACCCCAAAACTGTCATTGGGAGCCTCACGGGAATTCCTACCTCAACAGTCATCCAAACTACATTCACAGAAAGGGTTCTATCACTTGTTCGGGGAGGAACAATAAGAGAAGCTGGCAACACTGCAATTAGATTTGGAGAAACTTTAGGTATATAATTTAATTGGCATAAGACACCCTAAGCTTTCTGGAAATCGGAAATTGAATTATGCAAATAGATCAGCCTAGACGTGTATATGAAGAGTGAGTGTGTCCTCTCAGGCAGGTCTGTTGAGGACCTTTTGGATGGAGAGAGAAGCCTTTTGCAGGTCAGGAATTGCATACTAAGGTTTTCAGTTCTGGGAAGATCAGACATAAGAAACGAGATCCACATTGAAAGGCAGAGGCACCAGTGGAAGGAGAGACTTAAATGGTAGGAAATAAGAAATGAATAGGCCTCTGAAAGATACTTGAGAAAATGAGCCTCTAGAGTTTCCTCTGACAAGCAATCTTTCTCCACGGGCTTCTCTTATTCAACTGGCCTCCAAATAGTCATCAAACCTGTGGGACTTATGATTGAAAATCTATAGGTTGACTTTTAAGGTTACTAGTTTCATTGTTTTTTAACAGGAAACAAATTAATAGATGGCCTTGAAGAATGCTGTAGTGCAGTCACTGAAATATTGGAGGTTAGTTTCCATGGCTACCAACAGACGGGAACTAGATTATTTCATATGGTTTTTATTCTTTTTATTTCATAGTAAAAATAACTCCATAAACTAACAGCATTTATTCTGTCAATGTAATCATGAGCAATATTAAGTAATATATTAAAAAGATTCACTATATTATAGGCTACGATATTTTATACTGTTTTTAAAGGACAAACGATACAAGCTATTTGAATCTTCATGCCGGAAGCAGCAACATCTATTTGGCAGTGAGATTTATAGCATCGGTGATTTTGTAACCTTTACTAATATCAGTCCTGTGGGTGCTCAGCCAGAGGTTAGGGTGTGAAAGCAGAGAATTTAGAAGTCTAAAAGCCAGGATCACCTGCGGGCACAGGAGGGGAAGTGTGATGTGCTTGTTTGTATCTGAGTAAATGCTTGTGACAGGTCAGTACATGATATTTGATTCCCTGCAATCTTGCGCCTTAATTTGATCTTCATGAGGTCAGGATGACATTTTCCATTTATCTCTGCTTACCTTTAATAAAGGCTAAGAGGTGAAGATATTGAGGCTCTGACCTTTGGCATTATTGTCTAACTTTACCCTACAGACCACTTCACTGACAATATTATCATCCTATGAAGGCTCTAACTGGCCTACAATATCACCTGTGGCCATTTTGGAGGTCTTGGGGAGGATGGATTTGCTTGCAGGAACATAAAAAAATCCAAAGAACAGAGCTTCTACCAATGTTTTAAATTTATGTAACTGTTATTCACTTCATTAGTCTATTTTTTCGCATGACCTATGTAAGGGTATATGGAATAGATCTTATTACCAGTACTTAGCACACAACAATACCATGATATTTTTAAAATGTCAACGCTTACTTTTAAAAATTTTATTGGATTATAATAATCATGCAAAAGAGTGTTTATAAGTGAACATCGTGATGATTTTTATGAACTGAACCCACCTGTGCAATCAGCATCCAGCTCAAGCCACAGATATGACCAGCCATTCAGGGCAGCCCCTTTCCAAGTAGAGATTTTCATCTGGAAAACTGATAAGAAACGTTTGTTCAGACCAGCGTTTCTTAGACTGCTGGTAGTACACAAAATAATTTTAGGCACTACATAGACAGTGTTTATTTTCATTGTTATCTATTCAGTTCAACATGTTAGAAAAATATAACTACCACGTCTAATCTATGCTTTACAGATATTACATAGGATAAGCCTAATACAAATATTTAAAATTTAAAAGTGAATTGAATTAGTGAAAAGGTTTAATTAATAATAGTGCAGGTGGGTAACATAAATATGTCAAAAATTATAGAAGTGGTATGCTGGAAAATGACTGAAGTTTGGAAAAAAATGGGATAGATAATCTATTATTCCTTGTGGTCTCCCACCATCTGTCTCCTGGAACACTGACAGAAACTTCCATCAGGTCAACCCACATCTACCTTTGCCTTTGCAGCCATAGTGCAAATTCTTTTAAAAAGCAAAACATGCACAAAGAGCCAGCGAAATAAAGAGCAGCAAAT